CAAGAGGAATCAGGTGGGAGCAATAAATTCACAGTAATTAGCATAAGCATCAAAGAACAGTAGTGATTCTTTGAGAATTAACAGGTAACTAAGGAAAATATGTAATTAAAAACCTACTATGATGCAAATACTTTGCTATGACCTGGGCTTCAGAGTGCAGTTGTAGAGGGGTTTTTTTTAGTAGAGTTTGCTATTATTCATATAGCTTTATTTTTATTTTAAGGAAAATGTAAAAAGTGTAGTGTTGTGAAAAAATTGACTTAGCATCACTGGACCATTATACCCCATACAAAGCCTGAAAAGAAAGTGTAGAATGACTTCATAATTATAGAAATCATTCCCTCTTTTACCTTGAATCTTACTGAGCATGAACTGAGTGACACATGGCTTTGGTGAAGTCACAGAATGGTTGAGGTTGGAGGGGACTTACAGCAATGGAGTCCAACCCCTCTGCTCAAGCAGGGGCACCTAGAGTACATTGCACAGGGACTACAAGATCCTCCTAGTACTTCCTAGTATCTATTTACCAGCACACAAACAATTCTGGGGCAAGCATTCCTGTCAAGCCATGATATGGACTTGTCTGGTATGCTACCATTTGAAGTCCATTTCCTCTTTGGTTACGAGTGAGGTTATGCTGTAAATGAGTAATGTGGCAATGAAGCATACACTCACATCCAATCTGAAGTCAGATAACCCAGTTTTTCTTTCGACTGATCAAAGATCGCACAGTTCCACCAAAGGCTAATTAATATTGAACAAAGGACACATTCATGGGTTTGCAGGGGGCAAAAAATGTAGGGCTGATAGTGGGTGCAATTAGCATGCCAGGAATTTGCAACAGACATATTTTCACTAGCAGAGAATTTAGTCACTTAGCAGGAAGATTTTCCACCCAATCTGAGAAACAAAGGAAACATGCAGCGGCCAAACATCTGCATGTGTGCAGATCGGAATTAGGATTTCTAGGTAACTAGTGGGGCTATACACCTTCCACGGGTCCTGAACTGGTCCTTAAAATGCTAGAGCAACTATAGATTAATAGTTTCTTTAAAGTATCCACCTGGACTTAGTGATCCACTGCCATGGTCATGAAAGCTTGGAAAACAGAACCCAGAGAGCGTATAGAAATATATGTATGGAATAGGGAATATATATGGAAATATATAGGTTGGACCTCAGGTCAACATTCACACTTATTTTGGACTCACTGTGCTTAAAGTCCTGTTGTCTTGGTATCACATAAAATTTGGAAATTTACCTGCTTTTCTGTGTTGTGCATAAACATAAAAGCAGCAGAAAATAAAAATGAAACTTTCTTGAAAGGGGGAAAATGACCAGAGAAGGTTTAAAGCAATGGAGAATTAAGTTTCTTGTCTCAAAATACTTATGCTTTGCCTTTTGACTCACAATGGGAGTGCTTGTTTCAAACTAAAGTATTTCTAAAAATGCAAATGGAAGGGAAAATTTATTTAACTTTTAGATTCTGACATTATTTTAATTAGTTAAATTTTAATTTGCTAGCCAAAATAAAATCTACAACCACGAGATGCAATTACAGTACAATTCACACTGAGCTGTGATTGACTGTGCTGCCAGTAAACAAACCAACTAGCTTAATGGACCAATTGCAATTAGATTAACAAAGTTTGCTGGAGCCCAACTCATGAGCTGCAATAAACCTCAAAAAAGGAAATGGCAATTCTGGGCCAACTGGTTGCAATTTATTGCTGTCAACGAGGCTGATGGAAGAAATGTCAATTTACAGAGACTGGGTCAGGTAGCAGCTTATATATAATTACCCATCAATATAATCAACATTGAAGTCCAGGGTTTCATATCTTCCAGTAATTGTCTTCCCATAGAGCTCTATTAAATTTCCTGTTTGAAAGGGAATGGAAATTAAAGAGAGTCTTTTAAAAGCAGAATGTTTTTATTTGCAAATTTTGTGAACTGAAGAGGAGAAATTCTCGGTCCCTGCAATTTGCAGAGTGGCCCTGATTGCTGCACTGGTGTCTGTTCTCTCTATCAGACTTCAAGGTGACTTTGCACTTAAGTTTCCTTGTCCAAAAAGGACCCTGCTTTTCTTCACACACACACAATAATATCTACTCTTGATTTTTCCAACATACCTCTAGCACTGGTACTGAGAAGATATTTCCCTTAACCTATTTTGTTAATTAAAAAAACATCTAACTGAACTCAATTGCAGAACATCATTGCTCAGACGGCATCACCCACACGCACTAAATATGTTTGTGCTGCTTTTGTGAAATAAACAGGGTCTGGGCCCAAAGAAGGGCAAGACATGTGACTCTGGAGCTGAAATCCACTCCTATTTTCTAATTATCTTTGGGTGACCTTAGGTGATTATATCTCTTAGGTGCTTCTAAATCTCAGAAAGCACCTCTCTGCACTCCTAGGGGACCAAGATATTTTGTTTGAACATGATCTTGGAAATAAACTTTTCAAGTAAGACTTCCTAAGAAAGCCTGGAAATACCAACAGAATAGCCATAGGGAGGAAAAAAAAAAAGAAAAAGAAACATGTTTTTTAACAGTAGTTAACTATTCATACCAGTATCAGTGATTGTCTTTTCAGGTAACTTTGAAGTCTGATCTAAAAACCTCATTAAGCACAAGTGTGTTTAACATCATAATATTGGCACCAAATAGCATTTGTTAAAAATACTATGCAAGAAATAGGACAAATGATCTAAGAACCGAGATTGATTAAACTTATCCCCATACTGAACAACATCTCTCTGCTGGGGCAGAGTTTGTCCATGGAGAGCAAGTGCCAGAAGCCCCATTGGTCATTACACATTACCCGTTTTGCTTGCACCCAATACAGAAAACTTTTCCCCTGTGAAAACCTATTTTCCCGTTCAGCGTGAGCTTGGACATTAAATTCTGGAGATGCCCATTTTAATCCCCAGCAAGACAGCCCCCTCATAAGGAGAAAGACTCTATGGAACATCAAATAATAATTAAAGTGGGCTCCATCTTAAAGAAAGATGTCATACCTGGGACACCAGATGGTGGACTAATTTGGTAAACCACAGGTGTCTGCACAGCAGAGAACTGCAAGGAGAAATTTGTAGTTAAATGGCAGTCGTTTTCACAGCAGCCTGACAAGATCTGATTACACGTTGCTGGCAACACAGTTGGTGACCCATTTCAGAGACTACACACTTTAGAATTTGCTCTTTGAAGTGAAGCCCTGCTCTGAAAAGGGAGCAAGTCCAGACATACCCTTCTCATCCAGGAGATTTGTACCTCCTCTGCATTCAGATCTGACCTGCTGCTGTTTTTGCATTCTCTTTGTATGCAAGTTGTTCACCCCAGCTTGAGACATTTATTATTCATAAAAAGATGGTTTTATAAAAAATCCAAACTATTCTTTGTTTAAAGTAAAGGCTCCATTTTGCCTGGCATGGTGGCCTCAGTCCCTTTCCCTCTTGCCCAGATAAAATGTTCTTAAAAACTATTTCTGCATCACAAAAGAGAGCCAAGCTTGCCTTCGACAAGCTTGTTGGGTAGCTCCCAAAGGATCTTTGCCTAGAAAATGCTTACATGGCCCCAATTTGAGCTCCAACTTAATGCAATATTACACATCAGAAGCGTCTTCAGGAATGTACTACCTTTCCCTCTTCACCCCCTCTATACTTCATGTTTTCTTGGATGCCATTCCCTTTCAGAGCCCAGTCTTCTTTCCTGATAGTGGTTATGTGAAAAAAAAAATGACTGAATAACCATACACTGATTCCAGTGCTGGTCACCTCAGAGAAGCAAAGGCAGCATCCAACCCTGAACAGGACCAGATTCAGAAAAAGAAGTCAAAAATAGCATGAGAATCCAGGACCACTGGCTGACACTGAAGTCTGAGCTGTTGCGACTTGCTGCTGCCTGCAGCAGGCTTTTTCAATCTACTGCAGAGGGGAAAATTAATTTTTAATATGCATAGCTCCCAGGTCCCAGTCCCAAAACAGAGACACACATTGTGTTTTATTTAGCTTGGAATGCTTCTCATTAACAACATCCCCTGGTGATTTTTCATCAGCACTCTAAGCTAGCTGAACCACCCAATAACTCGTCAGTTTTAATGTGCCATTTACTGAAACACTGGGCTTTCTTGCTCAATGCTCAAAGTTATCGCAGAGGTGGGATGTGACTCCCAAACACACCAGGCCTCATTCTCAAGCAAATATCCAAGGGTAAGCATTCCACTCTGGAAGAGTCCCTGGGACCATCATCATTAACTGCTTTGACACCACCATACCCCATGACCTCCAAAGACAATGTATTTTGACTTTTGGTTCGCTGGTGAAATGTTTTAATAGGCCTGAAGAGATGCACTTTTCTGAAAAGAAAGGTATTCCTGCCCTTTGCTACCTGACAGTGCTGACACCCTACAGCTTGGAGTGTAACCCCATGAGAAGCAATCATGTAAGCCCCTCCATTCTAAGCTAAAATTGTCTGGGTTAGGTTAAAATTGTGTCTGTCCATTGTTTGCACTTGCATAGCTGCTTTTATGTAAAAATGACTGGGACTATTCACAATAACTGTGACAGTCACGTATTGAACAGGGGCCCTAGGAGGCTGCAAAAACTTCATTCATGGAAATTTTCAAGACTCAGATAAATAAATCCTTGAGCAATCTGGTCTGATCTCATAGCTGACACTGCTTTCAGCAAAAAGGGGCCTCCTAAGGTCTCTCCAACCTGACTGAGTCTGTGATTCTGAGACTGTATCAACTGCTCTGCAGTACTGTGAGCACAGTTAGAAAAGTGGCAGGTAAAGAGCCCTATAGGCAAACTGAGGTAGCATCTCTGGCCAGTAAGACTGTGCAGAACGTGTACCTCTCCATGGTCCTTATCCATAGAAAAATGATATTATACACTGCTTCTGACTTCATCTCCAGGTGGAAACATAGTGAAAGGAACTAACTAGTATTTTCAGCATTTTAGCAGGAACAAAGTCAAAGGATCTTGGGCCAAGAACAACTAAGTTTTGCCACAACACTTCAGACTGATGAGATTTTTAGTTGCTTTCAGTCAGTGCTTGATGAGCATATTGATCTTCGTATAAATAGTAACATGATCATGTATATCTTTCTAAAGGCATTCCCTTGAAAGTTGAATGTGCTGGCAAATAAGACCATGGGTTCACGAATGGCTGGTTGCTTAGAAAACTCTCCTGGCCAGTGCTATAACTTTCACAGGAAGGTCTTCCTAAACCATGGCTTAAGTGCAAAAACAGGTTAACAGACACAATTTTGCTTCAGAAAGGCATCCTAGATTGCTTAGTCTATCCAGTGCCAGACTAAACATCGAGTGTTTACATGCATTTCAAAGACATAAATTGCACTTTAACTTCTTGTCCTGACATGCAATCTGGCATGCAGTGTGAAAGATGCTCACAGGATGTCTCCTGTGATCGATATCAAGTCTAAAGGTTGGCTACCTTCAATACCTTGAGCTCTTTATCAACACTTCCATTCTTGCTTGATTGTACCTTGAAAGTGTAGCTGTCTTTTTCCACCCCAGTCAGATTGTTAATCACCCGTCCTTCTGAGAGCAGCTCCACATGGTACAAAGCTTCCCAAGATGAAGACCTGGAAAGGACGAGAAAAAAAAAAAAAAAAAATACACACACACACACACACACACACACACACACACACAGAGTTATGTTTATTATTAGGTAAATGACAGATGCTTCTTTGGGTCTACATGCTTGCAAGTCCACTGAGGCTTTGATAGAGCAAAGAAAATTTAGGTCCAAACAGTCTACTGAAAAGATAGATTTAAAGAGAAATATGGACTCAGACCAAGAATTTCAGGGAAGTACAGAAGATTGCAGGGCTATATCAGAACTCTAACTATCCAAATTGTATGTAAATGCAAAACGCATGCATGCTCATTAGTGTTCATTAATACTAATAACTAATTGTTATTCATTAGAATTAAAATAACCCAAGGCTGCCTAGATTTACAGGGCAGCTTGATCCTGGTTTGTAAATTAATGATGCATCCTTAATGCATATAGTTTCTCATCATAACATTCACCAGAAGAAATAACTCCCAGCTAAATCATAGAAGCAAGAGATGGAAGAGCTCCATTAGGGTCCCTCTTATAGCTTCTTGAGAGGCACTTAATCTTCTAGTTGAAAGAAAAAGATCTTTGAAACTTTGGCAGACTGGAAAAAGAGCTTGCATTGCTTAGCCCATACTCAGAAGCACATTTGTTTCCGGTTACAGAATTACAGAATGGTTAAGGTTGGAAGGGACCTCTAGAGATCATCTAGTCCAATCCCCTGTTCCAGCAGGGACACCTAGAGCACAGGGCACAGTTCTACCACTACTTTTTTTTTTATGATCATGGACAGGCAAAGGATACCTAAAAGTGGTGAAATCCCTAGATTTCCTTGGGAATTACGCATCTAAATAATTAGATGTTTACAAGCCTTTGAGTATTTGAGTCTTAGTTTATCCAAACCTCAGTTTGTGAGACCCACATGCTAGTGATCCTAGTGCTTCCTTAAGCTGAAGCAAGTATAAATGCAGCACAGTTTAGGAGGTGCTCAGATAAAGTGAGAGCAGCAGCCATACACTCCCAAACTGCTTACTTGGGTACAAAGAAACTGAGGATCCTTCTAGGCAAATAGAATACAGCTATCCACACAAAGATCATACCTTGTTCTGCATCTTATGGTGGATAAGTTAAAATATACAGGAGAAACATCACAGGGTAACCTGGGTAGGCCTGGATTCACTAGGAACACCTCCAGATGAGATCCACTGGCCACAAAATGTTGGTGAGATGTTGAACCTAATTAGTCAAAAACGAATCAGAAGAGCTTAGTAAGGATATAACTCACTTTCAGCCACACATGACATAAAATGGGAGTGTGAAATTCACTGTCTCTTTAGCAGCAGTGCTTAGCACTCCTAATCAGGGGTGTTTTTTAATCTTGTCTCACCAATTTAGCTCCAAATCCATCTGCCTCTGCAACTGCCAGGCTTTTCTGACTCCAATGCAATCGCTGGTCTCTCCACAGCTTCTACTGCAGAGATTTCTGGTTATTGGGAGTTGGGATCTACTCAGCCATCTAGATTGGAGTAATAACCAACATGCCTATATACACATATATGTGTGGGTGTGTGTGTATACACACACACATATATGAAGAGACTTGCAAAAGCAGTTGTTTCACATATCCTTTCATAATTACACTGACAGGAATTCAGCTTGGCCTGGTCTGCAAGGTGGGTCTATTTAGTAAATTTCTTTAGAGCAAACTGCCCAGAAGATCAAAGCTTATCAACTTCAGAAAGCTAAATTTTAGCTGAACAAACTAGCACAATTACATTTTGTAACTTAGTCATACGATTTTGAAATAAGAGCTCTAAGTAAGTCTCCATTTGTACACTCTACAGATGGCCCTTGTTTACTAATCTGTTTTAAAAATGCAAGTGATTTCTTGATTTGCAATCGACTACACAGTTCCTCCTGCTCCTAGGAAGGTGCTTTCCCTTCTCCTCCCACCTGTCTGAGCTCCCAGAATATCTCAAAACAGGTTTAAGTGTGAGCTCCCAGGTGGGATTCCCTGTGCTGGGCACATGTCTCCCTGAAGATACAAGTTCTCCCTCCTTCCCACCCGTCCTTTCTATAGGGACCTAACATGCAATTCAGACAAGCAAGACACATCGCATTCGTCACAGATATAAAGAAGTAAAACAGAACTTGAACATCTTGAATGAAGAACAAGAGAGAACATAAAATTGACTCAGAAAAATGAACCTTTCTCAAGAAGTCAATATTCAATCTTCTGGAAGAAGGAAGAAAAGAGATCTTAATTTTGAGCAGTTAGGTTTAACAGTTCTGGCATAGATCAGCAAGGCCTATCAGTTTGGCTTTTGCTCATATCTCACATTTATCACTAGTGTTTTTAAGGTCCTTCTTCAGATGATTTATGAAGAGATTTGGGGGTTTCTTTTTTAAAAAAGGAAGGAGGAGAAGAGATTTTCTATTCCTGGGGCTACAAAAAAACAAGGCACGAATCAAACTTTTATCACGAAAAAAGAGATTTAGCTAATCGTCAACAATGGTTTATGAAGTAATAATTTCAAGACAATTTTGGGCTGCCCAAGTAACTGTGCATCTGTTACTTGGAATTTGTCACCTTACCTCCAACACTCGAAACACAACTGATTCTATGATTACTTTGACACTTGATTTGAGTTAAATACTCACCAGGCAGGGTAATAGTAATCCATGTTCCTCCAGCAACACTGCCCTCCCGCGGCTTAATATGCAGTCCTGTAGCTGTCACTGCAAAAATAACCCAGCCATGTCAAGCTGAAGTGTAACACAAGCATCAAAACCATCTCATTCAGGAGAAAGCATCTTTTAACTGGCCCAACAGCAGCTCTTCTGCAATCCGTGTCTCCTCTTAATTTCTCCTTCAGAAGCATACAAATTTGTCATATTACTTGCCCCTTTTTACACCCAACTTTCCACCCTATGTAAGAATCCTGCTTCTCAGAGAGTTTTTATTTAAAGCCTTTCCAGGTTTGGTGGATTGAACCACAGTCCAAGTGTTACGTCCTCCCCAGAAATCAAAATGAACATGATAAAACTCATGCTTGTTGCTCCATCTCTTAAGGAAATCTGCCTGCTTACTTCTGCACATTATCCCCTAAAGTAGGACAGTCAGCATAGCAAATCTATTTCTGTCTCTGAGACAACCTGTCCAGCTCTCTCTTGAAGAATTTCTTAGGAAAGAGAAACACTAGACTGGAAATGAACTCTTGTTTTATGTAATTAAGTCACCTGCAACTTGTTAAATAGTCTTTTTCATAAATGCATCAAATTCTTCAGGTGATTTAGGCTTTGTTTGAGGGACCCTCATCTTGTGATTAGGATAGAGATCAGTGGGTGTCTATGAAAGAAATTGCCAGACAGTGTCCAGATTTTTTTTCAGAAGCCCTTATTTACAGCAATACCCAATTTGTCTAGCATTTCAGCTGATTGCCAACTTCTTGGCCATATGTTAACTTCACAATCTTATTCACCAACCTAAACCCAAATATTGTGCATGCAGCATAAACACATACAGATCCATGAAAACATTGAGCAAATGAGCAAATGGAAACCAACAAACACAAGAGGAGACCAAGTAGAACAGAGGAAATAACTACAAATCCAGACACCCACCCTCAAATGCCTGCTAACTTTGGAAACAAAGACAACCAAAAGTCACTGACACAGGCTGCAAAACTCCAATATAGTGCAGTCAGTATCCCATAGCATCCAGCTCTCTTAGACACCTTACATACCTTGCACTTTACCTAACCCAGAAGCACTGCATTTTGCAGTGTTTGCATTATCAGCATGGTTGTGTTCAATACTTCTGCAACACCCACCTGCAAAAAGGATCAGCTCAGCACTCAGAAAAGATCTCAAGAGGTTCATCTCAGACTTTGGAATTGGATTTCAGAAGATCTCTGCTCAAACCCTTGACTTTAATACCTTAGCACCTTCCCTGTAACATGAAAAAAAAGTCCTGACTGTATTCTTTCTTTATATTGTAAGCCTGTGGGAAGAGCAGTGAGCTGTTAGATCAGACAAAGAAATGGAGAGGACAAACAATTGCTCAGGATAAGCTACTTGGGCAGCAAAACATTTAATGATAATTGCAGCAAAAAACAAAAGCCAGATCAAAACCGTATCTACATTTGTCGCAGAAGCACATACAAGAAGATATGTAGCACAAAACACCTTTTCCTCTCAAAGCAGCTTTTTTGAGATATCAAAGTGAAACTTAAGGCACCCATAGTGTGCCTTATGCTATAACAGAGGCAGGTTAACACCCCAGGAAAAGCACAACGGGAGTGGGATGCTCTGAGAGGTGAGGCATTACCTTATCCATGAAGAAGCTGCAGGTGAATAGAAGCAATTGATGTCTCATTACAGAGCCTATAGCAAAGCACCAAGTGAGGAGCACAGTTTTTATAGTCACACCTGGCAAACACACGTGGCCTGCAGAAATGATTCATGTATACAATAACAGGTACTCTCTGCCCTTTCTCTCTGCTTTTTCTGGCAAATCCAAACATATGAATACTTAGACCGGAACATAAAGTAATGTAAAACACTAGAATAGCTGCGTTGCTTTTGCCATTATATTGCAAGTGCTGCTTTAACTATTCAGTCAGTATTCCTTGCAGGCTTTAAAACTGAATTTGTAGGGAGTCAGAGTCCATAGCTTAGATGCATTTAGACCTTGCATTTTAAAGTAGGCCTATCGTTTGACTTTATTGCTATTATTCTTCTTCAGATTTTTTTGTTATTATTATTTAGCATTACTTACCTTATTCTATTTGCTCTTCTTCCCTTCCTCACAGGAGCAAAGTGTGGAAGTGCAAATGCCAGAATAGCTGTTCCATCCCTTTGACACCTGCTCTGCTACCTGCAATTTCAGGTCCACAGCTGTGCCTGGCATTCAGTTCAGTCCCCACATGGGTCACAGGCTGAACTGCACTGAAAACCACCAGACTAGTTCTTAGCAGACTTGATGCCCACCACAGACAGAGCTCAGACCTGTTCATCAGGTGAGATTAATTATTAACATAAGCTACTTGCTACTGTTAACTATTTTGTTCCAAGGGAGTGACCTGGCATCTTTCTCTACTTGATATATAACTAGATCCCCTAACAAGACAGTTAGTTCCTTTTATCCTTCCAACATTGCTGGGAGCCTCCAAGCTTGGCATATGCAGGGTACTTGAGCAATACACCCTGGGTTCTGACAGAGTCAGTGGCAAGACCATGAGCAGTGACCATGCATATGGGTGTAGTATGAATGTCTTCATGAAAGCTTCCATTGACAAAGCTTCCACAAGAAGCTCTGCAACACGACACTACAGTTTAATGAGTTACCACTCATCAATCGATCATCATCACTAGTATGCATGACCTTCCCTCATCTCCAGCAGGAGACAAAACAGGCTTGCTTGTTCTTCCCTGGCTTCAGCTCAAAGTCACAGGGGCAGGAAGCCACGGGTGATCAGCTTTCAGGTGAGTTTTGGAGGTGTGCCCAACAAAGGAACCTGCTGGATTTGGTTTATTCTTGCACCAAGCTCCCATGTCTCAACAGCACGTGGCCAATGATTACAGGAATCCGGTGAAGTTTAACACTGTTCTGCTCAAAAGTCTGCACTCCCTTTACTTATTAGCCAGATTTTCACTGCAAGCATGGTTGGAACAAGAAGCAATCTTGAGGAAATACTCCAAATATATACTCATAAATGTATACATATAAATATATATGCTTATATAGTCAGATAAAAGTCATTCTTCAAAGACATTGACAATTTGCATCAGAGTCTTCCTTTATCCCTTTTCTTCCATATATGCTTACTCACCACGAGTAGCAACTTTGCCAGCAGAGGTGACAAAACCCAGGGTTTTGCCTCTGAAATAGAAGCCTGTTTCCATGATAAGGAAAAGGGCCAACCATTCCATGAGGAAGGGGTGAGGCAGGAGCCAAGGGTGGCTCTGGTGCAGGCAGTGCCCACACAAACAGGGCACAACCTTGATGGGTCGGAACAGTGTTGGGTAGAGCTGGGTTCTGGTAAAAAAGGTCCACTGACAGCCCCACACACATGAAACGGAGCAGATCCGCATCCTGTCACAACAGAAAAGAGACAGGGCTAGAAATACAGCTACAACACACAGCCAAGGTCCATTGAGGAGACAGGCCTAGAAAGAGCTGCACCTGTAACCTAGCTCAGAAAGAGAGCAGTGTCCCTGGGCTGAGCTTAAATGGACCTATGGGCTCATGGTTGTGTGGGTGGGGGGAGACCCAGATGGGGCTAGTCAGGGTCATTAAGGCTTGTTAGTGCATCCAGAGCCAAGACATTTAATCTTTCAGTTTTGCTGTAGCATACAGCAGTCCTTAAACTCCTTAGATCTCAAGAGTGAAGGAAAACAAAAATGTTGCTGCCTTTGCTGTTCTCTACAGCATTTCATGGTGCAACCTTGAGGAAATGTTTTACATAGAAGACACTAAAAAAGTCTCAGACTTGCAGGTCCAGTGGGGATATTTGACTGAGAGGAGAAGAGGAAATTGTATTCTCAAAAGCCACGGATTAGGTGAGGAGTGGACTTCAGGAATTGTCTTCCTGAATAGGTTGGAGTATGGAAAGTAAGAGGAAAGATGGTGGGTAGCACTGTCCTTAGTGACCACACAGGTTCCTCACCCACAGCTCTGTTAGGGCAAGAAAGGGGGATTCGCACAAGGGTCTCATTATATGAAATGTAAAGCCTCTCTCACTATATATGTTGATGACCATATTTAGGTATAACTGCCCAGCAAAGAGAAGAGCAGAACAATTTGATAAATGAATGTACATATTTTACGAATGTGTATCTGCACATTTGTAAGCATGTAAATACACTTATGTGCATGTACATCAGTGCATGCATTTTTCTTCTTACTGAAGAAAAGTTCTACTTAAAAATATCCCCACAGGCCATCTATTTTTGGTCATGTGTAGCCATTCACTTGGAGATTGCAGATTTCATAAGCACCAGTGGAAATAACCCCCAACAGGGGTGAACAGAGTCCGAATTGGGTACCTGAGAAACATTCCTACAACGTAAAAAGAAAGGAAACGATGAAAAGCGGGAGATGTGAGGATAGCTCTTGGTCACTAGGTGGAACTATGGAGCCACCGAACACCTGAACTTGAACCACGGCTTTTGGCCAAGCAAGCCATTGCTGCTCTGCAGGATGGTTCTGCTGAGCACAGGTCCAGGAATTAACTGCTGTTATCTCTCTGAATGGAAATACCATGACCAAGTAATTAGATCGCAGGAAGAGGAGAAACTGGACCTATTCCCCAACTCTTCCGCTCACTCATGCATGGTTTGGGCTAACTTGCTCCCCTGTGTAAAATAAGGGGAACTGTGTGCTCCCTGTGAGGTCTTTGCAGGGCAGGTGCTGTTCAGCTGCAATGACACACTCTGGAAATGCTATTTCCCAAAGACCTGCAGCACTTGTGGGAGAGAAAAGCTCTGCATCAGGCACAGGAAGGTTCTCTGCTGCTCCCCAGGCTCTGCAGCGCAGGCACCTCATGTGTGGAATGTGGCAGTTGTTGGACAGCACATGGCATCGCCCAGGAGAACAGCTGAGGGAGGATCATGTGGGATAAGGCAAGGTTTAACGACTTTGTCTACAACCATTTGGGAGCTCCCCTCCTCCCTCCAAGCTCTCCTTGTGCATGCACAGCCCCATACCGAGGGCACCGGTGTTTCCGGCCTCTTCCCAGCGTCCGCACCTGTAAATAGAGCATTAAACACCCTGAAGGAAAGCGGGCCTAATGGGGCTTGTGCTTGAACCGCATCACATTTCTCTAGGACATGACCACGGAAAAGTAGCCCCCTCCGATGCAAGCTGTGCCACATTGGGCATAAAACTGCTTGAACTCAAGGAAGCGGGTCCAGATGTGGGTCTTGAAGAAAGGCCAGATATCTCCTTTCAAGCTTGATTTTCTCTGTACTTAGTGTTCTCTTCCACATCTTGCCTGTTTTTTCATCTTCTGAGCAATTTACAAACATGGGAAGGTAGCTATCATATCACCAAACTGCTGCAGAAAACAGACCAGGACTGCCCCAAGTACTGAGTGTTTGGAGCAAAGCTTTAGGGCTTGGGAAGTCTCTAAAGAAGATCCCAGCACCTCCCACTGGCCATCCTGCAGCTCAGAACTTGTGGCTACATCTGAGAGCAAAATAAAACCATTGGGGCTAGGGCACTGTATCTCCACAGATCAGAAGTTGCAAACATGGTGCCCGGGATGATTTTGACCCAGACCAGCTTGCATTAGTGCAAACAATTTGGGGGGACCACCACAGGACCAGAGAATGACCACTGCAGCATTGACTTGCTAGTAGAGATGTATCCTGGAAGGCTTTACAGGCTGGTGTGTCCTGCAAGGACATCCCCTGCACTGGCCACGCTGCTGTGCAGAGGTCCCATCAGCTGCTATTTCTTTCTATTAATACTTCACTTCTTTGTGTATTGACACAAACTTCCTAGCAACCAAAGCTACAAGAGAAGGTGCTAAGAAGCTGGACTGATTATTTATAAATCCTAGTGTTTGCTGTCTTTTTTTCTTGAGAGGCTTGTTAGGCACTGGCATGCAGGGTGTTGAGCCAAGATTTCCAAAGGAACCTAAGGGATTTGAATGTCCTGCTTTGAATTTCCCGATCTGCATCCCAGCCCTCCTCCTTTTGGCCTGCAGTGTCCAGCTGGGCGAAACAACGTTAGTCAGCGATCCTGCAACCTACCACCATGCTGAGCATTGCCCCTGTGGTCCATAGGGTTTCTTTATTTATAGTCAGGATATAGTTGTTTGCGCAGAGCAGAGAAACACCTCTTATTGCTATTAAATCCCACCATGTAGGGCCAGATGCCCTAGTGCCTCCCCAGTTTAGACA